TGGTTCAAATTAGGGAAAAAGTTCCTCTCCCATTCGGCTAGACATGTTTTTATATTATTAATATAATGGAAAAGACACATGTGCCCTTATTTAAGTGAGGGACACTAGTTCTAATATAATATTACAAATCAGCAACCTCAACATAAGTATAAAGACAGAAATACAAAAATGTTGAAATCTGTGCTGCACATTAATATGGGATAGGGATCATGTCTAACATGGTCAAATTTCAGGAATGTAGTATATACTTGTGTAGTTTAGCTTTATATACATAAGTTAGTTTGAGCATCAAACCTGGTTAGCTCAATTTGAGAGCTGTTCCTTTATTCCAGAAAACCAAATTGCTCAAACCATTGACATTTTAATTGTGTCCTAACATGTATTTGTCAATCCCACCTCCATCTATCTATCTATGGTTGCACATGCCACATGGCTAAAAAAGGCTATTACCCAATGTTGGTTCCAGCTAGTAGTTGTGATCAGTCTCCCCATGGTGCCTGGTTTTTATTCTTATTAGAGCATTAGCATCAAGAACTACTATTACTGTTCTATTATTTCAGACTCTGATATTAGCATATGTTTGCCTTACCAGTTTATGAAGTATCGTTTGCTATGTTATGCAGGCTACACTTTATCCTGGAATATGTGAACCAATTTCTCAAGGTGGATTGGGATTCGATTACTATGTCAATCTTTCTGTATCAGAGATGTGGTCGTGGTTCCTCGAGAATGTTCCTGATCATGAATGGAGCATGAATAAGGTTCCATCATTTGATTCATACAGTTAATAATCTGCAGTTAAATGGAGTTTCATATCATTGAATAAATACTGAGTTTTTTGTTGCATTATATTTATAGTTGAGAGATCACATTTCTTAAACCTTCTTAGTCCAATAGCCCTTGGGGCTTCCATGACCTCTTTGGGCATGCATTTGATTTGATATTTCTCTTATTTGAATCATTGAATACTCAGTATATATGAGCTTCCATCTAGTATTTCCATAGTTATAGAAGTATATCTATAATGCAGATTGTGAACACACTAATAGGCAATAAACAAAATCCAGAGAAGATGCTGGTATATGCCGAGAACCACAATCAGGTTAGAATCCGACCTCAACCGTGTCCATATGCATGCAATATCTAATTAGAATTTCTAAAATCATTAACTAGTTAACTCCTGTATTTTCTTTTTCATTTTTTTCTATTTTTTTAGTTCAGTATTTGTCACACCTAATGATTCATCCTAACAATTTTTATGACAGTCCATATCAGGAGGGCGATCATTTGCAGAAATTTTGTTTGGTGAAACTAAGGAGTGTCCTTCTAACTTAGAAAATCCATTGCTTAGAGGGTCTTCATTGTACAAAGTATGTAACATAGAAACTTTATGTTATAACAATGTTAAAAATTCAATTTTGGATTTCTTTCCAATACCTTTGTTATTATTTTTACTTTTCTTTTTGGAAGATATATAGAAAGGTTTTTTATATATTAAGGAAAGTACGAAATGATGCAGAAGATGAGTTTATATGTTTTACCTGATTTTTCTGTTGTTATTCAATTACCTGTCTAGCAAAACCATGTTTTATGAATCTTACGTATTTTGAAAAGTTATGGCCATTTTATTGATATGATGTTGGTTGGTGATGGGATGTCTGCCTTCTTGGTATATATTGGAGCCTTTTTTATCTAATTTTAGGAGGATTGGTGTTGAGCCTTTCCTGTCTATTAGTAATGAATATTCAGAGTTGTTTTGTGAGTCAGTTCCATATTTAAGTGTTCATATGGGTAATATATGGGTTTGCTTTGGCCTTCGTGCACTTCGGTTTTGTTTTATAGCAGGTTTTTAGTCTGAATTTAGTTAGTGAGTTTTATTGTCTACGAGCTCGGTCTTGGTATCTCATCTCTTTCTGGTAATTCTGTGTCTTTCCTTCTCTATTAGTTTGCTGTGTTCTATCTAATACATTAACTACCATACAGTCTAGCGTGCTATATTTCATCTTCCATTATTAACTCTCCATTTCAATTTTACTTAATCTTAAATTTCAACACTTTGCTGTGTATAAATCGGTCCACTATGTGAATCTGACCACTCTACAATGCATCACTTGTAACATCTTTAAACAAGTATCCTCCCATAAACATAGTTGTCAAGGCGATGCCTAGGCAACAAGGCGCCCTTTGAGGCTCGCCTTGCCTAATCACCAAACAGTTTTGTACTATGTATTCTAAAATACTTTTTTATTCTTTATTTTTTGACATTATAATTATAAAATAGGCACTATTAAACTAAAATACTAATTATAATACTAGTATTAAACTAAGATTCTAATCAAGACATTTTCTTTTCTTCTTTTCCTATAACAAAAATAAGGGTTCAGCCCTTATATTTTTTGAATTTTCTTTTCCTTCTTTTTCTTGTCATGAATATGTTGATTTTCTATACTTTAACATGAACTCTATACTTTTCTTATGAAAATTATGAATTATTATTAAGAAAATATGGTTATGGTACCTAGGTAACTACCCTAGGATCTATGTTTTCTACATAAAAAAATCCATTGCCTAGGTGACGACTAGGCAACAAGGCACCCCCCTGTCGCCTAGCCTCGCCTTGGCACCTTGAAAACTATGCCCATAAAAACATGATGCAAAAAGGGAATAACCTAATCATGTTTGCAAGGAAAGCACATTCAAATGAAATGATGACAAGCACCAGAATAGTATTAGTGTTAGAATTTAAGACTTCTTGGATTTCAAGCAGCGACATTCTTCTAACTACAACTATATATATACATACATAATTCAATCAATCAAGTGATTGAGTTGTTATTTTTTTAGGTAAGGCCCATTCAGGGAATCATACAAATTGTTCCAGTTGAAAAACAGCCCACTTGATGTATGGAACTGTTTGAGATTAGATGCAAACCAGAAAATGGGCAAACAAGAGAGGAAGAGAAGAGAGAGCTGGCGGCAGTGAGTGTTAGAGAGTAAGAGGTTCGAACCTTAACTCTCTCTAACACTCTAAACATCTTATTAATAAGTTAATCTTTGACAAATTA